AGGGTCCAAAGCACCCAATAATTAGGTACTCGGCTTTAGGATAGTAGTTAGGGTATAGGGTTTAGTGTTTAGGGTTCAGGGTTTAGGGTTTAGGGTCTAGGGTTTTGGAGAGTGTATGATTATTCGGTGCTTGGACTCTTGGGGTAAACCCTCAACTGCTAAACTTCCTAAACCTTGAACCGTAAACCTGCCTAAACCCCTAATAAAGGCGCCTACATAATTACCTACATCATTTGGGGAAATTCCTTATTAAGGCTATAGTATAATATACACCGAAACCCTATATACTAACTATGAAGGCCCCACATTAGACCCTAAACCCTAAACCCTAATAGCAAGTCTCCTTTGAGTCACCTTTACGACGCCTCCTGCGCCCAGAGCCGCGAAGACGAGCAAGCCGAGTTGGGCCAGCTGATGGAAGACCCACAGGCGCGGTTTTTTTAAGGGTTCCTGTAAGGGTTGGGTTTAGGGTTTAGGGTTTAGGGGCCCTAAGGGTCCAAGTACTGAATAATCATATACTCTCCTAAATATCAACCTAGACAACTACTATCGGCAGCCAAAGTACCTTATTACAGCATTGGGTCCTTTGGACCCTTAGGGTAAAGCCTCTTTGAAGTACGGATTCCTCTAAGGCTTCCCTTAAGGGCTCCATAGGGTTCCTTGAAGGGTTACTGTAAAGGCTCCGTTGTAAGGGTTTCTACAAGGATTCCTTTCAGGATAGTTGTAAGGGTTTCTACAAGGATTCCTTTCAGGATAACCCTAAACCCCTAAACCCCTAAACCCCTAAACCCTAAGCCCTAAACCCTAAACACGTAAACCTCTAAACCCAAACGGCTTAGGGTTGTTTCTTCTGAGGGTTCCCTTAACAGAGCCTTCTTAAAAGGAGCCGGTAAGGGCCTGCAAGGTTGCTTCAGGGGTTCCTGTTCATTTAAGGCTTCTCTTAATGGCTGCAGAAGGGCACTATTATAAGATATTTTGCTCTGCAGACATTGTAAGCCGGAATGTTTATGTTCGCCGTGATTTGGTTTGTGTCTTTTCTTGCCATCTTTTTGTGTTTGTTGCTGACGACTGGGTTTGGGGTTGTGAGTCGTGGGAGTTAGGGTTTTAGGTAGCCCTAAACCCCCAAGGCTGTAAGCTCAAGCTTAGAGCTTAAGGTGGACTTGTCGAGACCCTAAACCCTAAACCCTAAACCCTAAACCCTAAACCCTAAGCCCATAAGTTTCAAAAAGCGCCTCTGGGGTTTAGGGAAGTTTAGGGTTTAGGGTTTAGGGAAAGTCCAGGTCACGATGTGCTGTGTTTAGGTCTAGGGCTTAGGGTTTAGGGTTTAGGGCTTAGGGTTCGGGGTTTCAAGTCTGAATGCAATCACTTGTTGGCGGCGTCCGTGCTTAAGGCACGGACTTAACAAGCAAGCAAGCAGTTTCGAGAATAGGGGCCTTTATTCCTAAGCAGGTGTGCTATTGCCAATTTTTCAGTCATCCAACCACAGTACCAACAACTGATCGCTCAGGCCTTTTATTAAACCCGAAACCCTATACCCCAATAACAAAAATTGACTGCTTAGGCATTTTGGTCAATCGTTTCGGGTGTGGGGTTTAAGTCTTTGACACCCTGTGCAAGCCTCAAGGTTACCCGAAAAGATTCCAGTTCTACTCCTTGGGTTAAGGCGGTTTGGCGTTCAGGGCCAGTTTAGGTTCTAGGGATCTGGGCTTAAGGGTTTAGGGGTTCGGGGGGCAATTGTAGCGTTTGAGTTGAAGCATTTACTCGACCATGTGCCTGTAGCCATGCACAAAAGCTGTGCGAAGGTCTGTCCTGTACGTGTTCTTGGTGGCACCGACAACATCTACGGCAAGGCAAAGAGTGCGGAAGGGGATGCATTCCTGCGTAGCTGGGCAGGTAGTCATACCGAAGGATCGCCGTTCTGTAAGTCACGTGTTCATGCATCTAGGTGACCAAATTGCTGCATCAGCAAACTGCCATGTGAGCTATAGCTCAAGAACTTCTGAGGACCTGATAGAGAGACTTGACTAGCCCTAAACAGGCATCATGGATCTCAGCTTCCGCTAAACCCTAAACCCTAAACCCTAAACCCTAAACCCTAAACCCTAAACCTCGCCATGTCCGGGATCCAGGATTCCGGGTTAAAGGTTACAAATCGGGGGGAAAGGGACAAGTCTAGGATATTTTCATGTGGGCAGTACCTTCATAGAAGCCTTATAGGATGTCTATATACCTTATATGGAAGCCTTATAGAATCCCTATATACCCTAAACTCCCTACCTGTAGTTTCCTTATAAGGCAAGCTAAAGGGTTAAGGATCAGGGTTGAAGGTTTCAGGCTATCCCGGGGGTGCGTTTTTTGGATGACAGGTTTGGGCTTGGGTTTGCCCGTTGCCGAACTTGGGTTTATACGCCCTCAGAAATGGGAGTTTCCGAAAACTATTTTGGGGTCCTAAATATAAGGATCCTATTATTTGGGGTGCTATATTAGGGTCCCCTATTCTCGGAAACCCCCAAATGTCTTAGGGTAGAGGGTTTTGTTTCTAATTTGGGTTTGAGGTTTAGGGTTCAGGGTTTAGAGGGCCGCTTGAAAGCGTTTTCGACGGTGACAAGCACAACAGAAAGCTCGTTCCACAGCCGCTATGCAGTGCGCTTCACTAGCGCGCCAGGCTTGCAGACAGAACTGGCGCTGCGCCAACGCGCTTCGCTACGTTTGTAAAGATAAGAACAAAGACTGCGCACGCCGTTCCAGAACACACCCAGCGAGGGCGGTCGCGCTCTTCTGGCTGCCACGTGTTTGGTTAAACCAACCATAGCCCCAAACCCCAAACCCTAAACCCTAAACCCCAAACCCCTAAACCCTAAACCCCTAAACCCTAAACCCTCAAACCCTACACCCTAAACCCCAAACCCGCAGAACCCTAAACCCCTACATCCTAAACCCCAAACCCTAAACCCCAAACCCTAAACCCCAAACCCTAAACCCTAAACCCCTAAACCCTAAACCCCCTAAACCCTCAACCCCGTGATCCGGAAGCCCCTGAGCCCCAAAACCCTAAGCCCAAAATAATTTTCTACACCCTTCTAAATTCTTGAACCCCAGAACCCAAAACGCAAAGCCCTAAACTCCTGAACCCGTGAACCCCAAAACCCAAACGCTTAAAATCGTCGAACCTAGAACCCTAAACCCTACACCCCTAAACCCGAAACCCAATGTCGGGCGAAGGTGGCCATCCTGCTGCAAGTGTACCTCAGCCGAAAGTTCATTGAGGCGCAGTCTTCCGAAGACGTTTGGGTTCAAGGATTTTCGGGTTAGGGTTTGGGGCTTAGGCGTTTAGGGTGTAGGGCTAAACCCTAAACCCTAAACCCTAAACCCCGCATGACTTTCAAAGGCCATGCAGTCAGGGGTTCACAGTTGCAAGGCTGCTGTCCAAGAGGGTTTAGGGTTTAGGGTCCTTATTATACTACGATTGTGGACTTAGGCCCCCCCAATGCCATGATTAGGATGGTTTGAAGGGCCTATTTCCATAATAGTAGTATATCTGGACCCTCTGGCTGTGAATGTGTAGCGTGGTCCCTAAACCCTAAGCCCTACCCCCCTAAACCCTAAACTCCTAAACCCTTGGGGTTCTTGTTCACACATGAATTTGTGTTGTGGGGTGGCCTTCCAGGAACAACTCAGAATCGCCCGACTAGGGTTTCCAAAGCTGGCCAACCTGCAGAAATCGCACGTGGGTGTGAAAACCTTAGAAACCGTTTGGAACACCCTTACAACACCCAGCTCAACAAGCCTAAACCCTAAACCCTAAACCCTAAACCCAAACAGCTCCAACCACCTGTTTATGTTCAATGCTTCAGGTTGGCGAGCACCCTAAGTTTAGGGTTTAGGGTTTAGGGTTTAGGGTTTAGGGTTGAACCCTAACCTAAACCCGAAGCCCTGAACCTTGAGGGCTTTAGCTTGGTGAGCGACTGCAACTACGTGCTGCAGAATGCCTCGCGGTGGAGCCGGCTTCTTCGTGGTTTTTCCAGAGTACTTGTATGGGGGATCCTTCCCCAATCATAGTAGTGATTCCTAATATAGAAACCCGACATTCTGCTGTATAGCTACTTTGGACGCTTTGGGTAAGGGAGAGCAAAGGACGGAATTAATAGTTAGAAAAGGGTTTGGGCTATATTATACTATAATCATAGTACGGAACCCTCTAAACCCTACTCTAATCAGTAAGGCCGAAGTAAACCCTAATGGACCCGAAAGGGTTTGCTGTTGCGGGGAGATGTCAAGCACATCATGTGCGAGTCCTTCACAGTCCCGAGCCGGGCGCGCTTGACTTCAGGGTCTGTTTCATAAGGGTGCCCCAAGATTTACGGGACCTTGAAAATAGAAAAGGGCCCTGATTTAGAGAACTCTCCATAGCCATGAGCAAAATTGGGTAACCGTGGCCCACGTCCGAGGCAACATAGGACTCGATCTGTATTCATGTCACAATAGCGGTCGTCGTAGCAGTCATTAGTACGTAATGGTCGCAGTAGTAGTTAGTCGTCGTCGTTATGGAGTCATAGCAGTTGCATTTGGAGTAACAGTGCAGTAGCAGCAGCAAAGCATTGCTTCAGAATTACTTGAAGCACTGCAAGCGTATTGAAGCTTTTGGCCCGGGCTCTTTCTGGAAATCAGACGCTGATGCTGTCGAGTATTCCTGGAATCACCCATGAGCTGCAAACCCCGAACCATACTAGCGTCAAGCTAGCGTACTTATTTCTCCATGAAATCTAAGGTAGAACCCATGGGCCCCTAGCATGGGCCCTTAACCCTGGGACCCTAAATATACCTACTATATACCCTATATATACCCTTAAGGGACCCTAGAATCCCCTAAGAGCCCATGGTAGGGGCCCATGGGTTCAACCTTA